AAGCACAACTAATCAAAGATTTCTGTGCGTTTTTATGAATTGTTTCTAAGATAAAAAGAACGACAGTTGCAAAGCACCAAAGCTTAGTAGATCGCAAGGACAACAGGGGTTTTGTCTCTATTTTTCGAAATTGTGGTCTGTTATTGATATAAGAACTTTATTCTACCAGAATACAGGCAGAGAAATATTCCATTATAGTATTCTAAACTAAAACTATCGGAAAACACAAAACTAATTCTAGTCTATTATTATATCCATAGGACATTGCAACAGATATAGGAGTATATTATCACAACAAAGTGGTAATGAACTATGCCATTGTGAGCTAGGGCGATTCAAGTACAGTATCAAATATTTCTCAAGTGAACATAAAAAAGAAATCCAGTACCTGGTTCTTGAATTAAATGAACTCCAGTCCATTTCGAAAACGAAGTCTGAGTCTCGTGGTTGAGATGGTGCGATACGAGCCTAAGAACACCATCTATTCTTGTTGTTGGCAAGAGAAAGAATCCTTTCTGAGATACATTATATCATGTCTGAAGCACGTAGATAACCTCGAGAACAATTGGTTACTTCGTCTATCCACTATTCTGAAGTTTTTGGAAAAGTTTGATTCAGAATAAAAGGAAAAGAACATTCTTTAAAACTGTTTTGAGAAAACATGCCATTTGTGTAAGGATATATTCTCGCAACGTCATATGATTATTGAAAAACGATCGTTTTGTTCTGTTGTTGCATTTAATAAAATCTCTACTTGCACGTAATAAATCTGACCATAATTTACCGAGTATCGATCCTGGACACACAGGTAGTATGAAGTGAGTGAGTGTCTACTACATAGTCTGCAGCTCTAAACAAGCATTTCGATTTACCGTTAAGACAGAAAATTATTAATAGCTTTATCAGAGATTAGCTCTGTCTAGAACTGTGGCTCTAAATTTTAGAATTTATTAATGTTTGTTGAGCAAGTGACGATATACATTACTCGATCACCGAAAAGTTGAACGCAGCTATAGTTTTGATAATAGAATCTTAGTATTTTCAATAAGTTCTCTACCGACTTGGAAAAATCTGAGCTCTGCTGCTCAGTCAAAGAAAACGGGAGCAGTCATTTTCTTACATATACAGCTTATATTGAACTTCCTATGAAAAAAAGTTCAGAAAAAAGAACGGCGAAGAACGTATTCTTGAAATATGCAACGCGTCCTAAATACGCTTTTAGCGTCGTGTTTCTCTTGAAAGAACGTGTTCCTCTCCTAGCTCAGTCTCCGTTCTCAAGTAACGCGTTCTTTTAGTAGTGGAACACAGGCTCCGTCTCAAGGAACGCATTCGGGAGCGTTTTTCTTTGCTCTGTCCTAGATTCGACCTGGGGACCTTATGCTCATGAGTCCAACGAGTTATTATTAGGCTATACGAAAAGATCTGGTGTACATTGAGCAACGAGCGCCAAAGTGTGATTGCGAATAATGACAGCTGTGTCAAAGAACCGAGACATAGAAATTCTAACCTATTTCAATATCAGGGTGTTGAGAATAAAGTCACAATTCCTCGAGGAACTGATCTTCAATTCCCTCACAGTTCCCGTGAGTTCCGCGACATCCACAAACCAGGATGATGCATTGTCCACAATACTAATCACTCCTGCACCCACCTTGTATCAAGAAATAGAGAATTCGGAGTGTGTACGTATGAAAAAATGTTAGGAAGAATACATGATTCTGGTTTTTGGATGTAGTGGAACTCAGGGGAACTGGGAGAATTGACGATCAATCCTTTCCTTCCTCAAGGAATTATCATGGCCCTGTTGACAATTGCTGAACAGATCAAAAGTTCCTATTTTTTAGTTCTTGGATAGCCCCCAGAAGCACATCAGCCACAACGTTCATATGCCATCTTGAGATCTAATCAACGACGTTCTGTTTTTTCGACTTGAAACAATTAAAAGCGCATTCCTACTCCATGCATCCGATTTAACAAACTCTTCAAAGTCAGAAAAGCGTTCTTGCTAAACGCACGAACGCGTTCTAAGACTGTAAGGATACGTCATTTTTGAACTGTTCAAACACATTCATTTAGAGACGCGCTCTCACAGTCACAGAACGCGATTGCTGTTGAACGCATTCGAACGCGTTTCCCAAGAACGGGTTCTTATCGATTAGGAACACATTCAATGACAACACATTTGTCTTCAGAAGAAAGGAGTTCGTCTTTCCTAAGAATGCGTTCGAACGACTTCCAAGGTTTTCTTTTTTTACCAAGAACGCGCTCTTAGTCGATAAAACCCGTTCCGTTGTTTCGAGAACGCGTTCTTGACGATTCTTTATATAAACGTTTTTTCATGGGTTGATACGCAGGCATCCTTACAACGAGCAGATTTTCGTTCTTAAAACGCAAAGATCGTTACTTCCGAAATCATGTAAACATACATACATTTCGAGAAGTTATATATTTGTACAAGGTTAATGGAGAAGATTTTGGGTGAACTTGGGTCCAGATGTCTAGCAAACGTGAGTGAGATGAAAAAATACTATTCGAAACAACTATGTTTCGTTTTAACCACTATCACAATGCAATAATTGAAAGGCATAAAAGCATCCTTCTATCCACGACGAACAATCAAAAATATGTTAACGTATTTCCGTTAGTTCTAGTATGACACTTGTTCGTCGCTCATCCACAACTGGATTGAATCCAAATGTCATGAGATAGTCACCAGATATATTCTTCTCGGTGAGGACACTCGAGTTGTCTGTCCCCGGATAAACGTTAATCTCTTGAAGTGCATACTTCTTGCCGGAATCAAGACCTTTCAATCGAATGGGGCCCGTCGTGCCGGCCCTATACCGTTTGCTAACCAGATAGGTAAACCAAACTGCTCTGTCCTGGTTCTCACTGACGTACATTAACGAGGCAATGTCATTGTTTATCTCGAAGGGTGACACAAGTCGGAACACGTCGCCAAGCCAAATTATATTTTTGATACGAGCGTAGAGTTTGAGTGCCTGCTGACTGAATGCTAGCTCATTTGCATCAAGCTTGCTCAACACAATATCGTAACCCATTTTGCCCATCATGGCCACATCAGTTCGAAATTTCAACGGTTGTGTTCCCCAATTAGTAACGTGGCTACACGTGGCAATTGCAGGATAAAAGAAGGAATAATTCCACTGAATGAAGACACGTTCTAGTCCGTCAGTGTTGTCACTAGGCCAGAATTCGGTGAAATAGCGTAGGGCGCCATAATCGACACGTGCTCCCCCACCCGAACACAGCATCATTGGCAGATCGGGATATTTGATACGAAGACGATCCAAAACCTTGTATAGACCTTGTACGTATTCGACATAAACGTGAGACTGATGGGGATTTGTTGCCGAGTAGGCATTGTAAATGACTGCATTGCAATCCCATTTGATGTATCCGAGTGTTGGATGTTTACTTAGCATGCCGTCGACAACAGAGTAGACGAAGTTCTGCACCTCTGGGTTGGACATGTCGAGTACGAGCTGATTTCGATAGTAATATTCCGCTCGATTCGGCGCTTTGATAACCCAATCAGAGTGATTCTCATACAGTTCACTTTTCGGACTAACCATTTCCGGCTCTAGCCAAATACCAAATTTGATTCCGATTTCCTCTGCTTTTCTAACTAAGTAAGCAATACCGTGTGGTAGTTTTTCGGTATTTTCCTGCCAGTCACCCAAGCCCGCACGGTCGTCATTGCGTGGATATTTATTACCAAACCAACCGTCGTCAAGTAGAAACAGATCAACGCCCAATTTCTTACCGTCCTCAAACAACATTGTCAGATTGTCTTCATTGAAATCGAAATACGTGGCCTCCCAATTATTGAGCAATGTTAGCCGATTGCCTTCGCCGTGGGGAATGCGGTATTTCCTTGCCCAACGATGCAGGTTCTGACTAGCCCTGCCGAGACCGTGGTTTGAATAGGTGAGAAGAAAACTAGGTGTGATGAACTCGGTGTCTGGTGGCAATATATACTCCGATGCATAGGGATTGATGCCAGCAATGATCCGTAAATTGCGAAGTGGGTCGATTTCAAACTGTAACTGATAGTTGCCTGACCATGCGAGTGTGCCGAAGAGTACCTCGCCATGGTCTTCATCACTTGGCTGATTTAGTGATAGAAAAAAGGAAGGCGCTTGAAACAAATCAGCACGAGTACCCAGCTTAGTATCAAGCACTTTTAAACCAGCGCTCAGTTGTATCTGTTCAGCATTCATTTCGCGTGCCCAGTCGCCATGAAAATGGGTCAGATAATAGTTGTGTGCCGAAGATAAATAGAGATTGGCCGAAGCGTATTTCTGCATGCGAATGGCCTTTGGCTCGGTGTGTTTGATGCTCGTCCACTGCTCAATGACATTTTCGTGCTGGTACGCCTTGTAGTGCAGCGTCACCTCGAACGGATACTCAGGATCTTTGAGGTGAACTGTTGTCAGTACGACATCAGGCCCATTCGATGTTTGTTCGTGACGAATATACTTAAGATCCAACGAGGGATTGTCATCTGCATGTATGACCTGAATGGCCGGCTCAAGCAAATTGCGTGTGCCACTTGGAGTGTAGGCCGAGCTGTACATGCCTGTATAGTCCCCATTCCTCTGTTTGGCGTCATTGTTTGGAATTGATGCGTATTCAGCCCTATTTAGAAGTCGTTGACCGAGATGAACTAACGTCGGATTGCCTTCTCCATTTACTCGGATGACAAGTGCTGTCAGATTGGTTTCAACAGCAATATGAAGCACGGTGCTTTGATTTTGTGCTATGAAAGAAAGAAAACAGTACAAAAATATCTTAGAGCAGCCCGTGCCAGATAGAAGAAGAGTAAAACAATAGATCATATATTAAAAAAAAGAACAGTCTTTTTCCATGTTATACCGGTTCTTCAAAAAGATGAGGCAGGCACTACAAAGCTAATCAATCGCACACAAGAAACTTTTTGTGTATTCCAGTAGTCAGACAAGTGGAAGATATAAATGTTAAGGACGCAGCATCTATCTCGATAGCAGTGTGCCCAGCCCCCGATAAAACAGCCTCCAACTTCAACAAATTTTCAATCTGTAAGCTTGTAAATTTATATCAAAACAGGTAAGTATGCCAGGTACATCAGCACAAAAGAACATTTATAATATAGACTTTTAAGTCAAAACTGGATATTTTGTTTTGAAGCAGAAAAAAATTGTCCGAAAGTGAAGAATGAGAAAAAGACATAAAAGAATATGTTGAATTGTGTTCAATTATTGCATTTTTCCTCACTGACTTATAAATGCATTATAAATACCGACTCGACTTTGATTCTCTCCATGACGAATCGTAATTTTCATCACCAAAAACACGGAAATTTTTTAGAGATCAGCTAAAGGCAGCAGTCTCTCTGACAATAAAAAATAATTACTTACATTGCATGCTGGATCTATCTTTGATTAATGTACAAACAATAGCAACTAAAAGGACATGTACTTTAAAAGACATAATAATTGATTATGTTGTCTCACGAAAAAGAAAGAGCGTCTAATTCAGTTAAAAGAGCACGTACAAATATTTTGATATATACAGATTAACGATGATATTTATTCATCAAAACATCATTCCTTTCAGTAAAAGAAATCTATGCTTCACCTAGTATGTATACTCTCTAAAAATATAAAGGTATCGTATGGAACCAAAAAAAGGGTATCTGCATTTGTTACTAATAAGGACCACTTACCGTATCTTAGAACACCTTCTTTTAGTTTCTAGATTACGTCTACGTATTTCTGATACCACAGAACCAAAACTCGGTTCTTATAATTAACAAGTGCATATAGTGTTAAACATATCTTAGAACATCTTTTTTGGTTTTCTAGGTTACGTTTACGAGTTTTTCTTGCTCTTACGCGTATGAGCAAGAAAAATCCGTAAACGTAACCTAGAAAACCAGAAAAGATGTTCTAAGATATGTTTAACGCTATATGCACTTGTTAATTATAAGAACCGAGTTTTGGTTCTGTGGTATCAGAAATACGTAGACGTAATCTAGAAACTAAAAGAAGGTGTTCTAAGATACGGTAAGTGGTCCTTATTAGTAACAAATGCAGATACCCTTTTTTTGGTTCCATACGATACCTTTATTTTTTTTAGAGAGTATACATACTAGGTGAAGCATAGATTTCTTTTACTGAAAGGAATGATGAGACAACATATTTAATTTTTTCGTGAGACAACATAATCAATTATTATGTCTTTTAAAGTACATGTCCTTTTAGTTGCTATTGTGTGTACATTAGGACTTTACTGTAGTTTAACTAATTTCATTACCACATGATCATAGTAAGGGCATTAAGTGCCAGAATATTGTTCCGCCTAGTAATATAATAATAATAGCCTTTTGAATGTTCCTAGGTGAAGGTGGAAATGCATTTATAGGTCAGTGGGCAAAAATGCAGTAATTGAACACAATTCAATTATGTTTATAGAGAGTATACATACTAGGTGAAGCATAAATTTCTGTTACTGAAAAATGATGAATAAATATCATCGTTAATCCGTATATATCAAAATATTTGTACGTGCTCTTTTGTTAACTGAATTAGACGTTATAGTTAAGAAAATATAACAATGATTACACCATTGTATACATATCATAAAATATAAGAAAGCAATTCAGGAGAAGAACGAAAGCACAGAACCGATATAGCTTCATTTAGTAACCGAAGACAGAGTCAAATAGGGAAGGTCTTTGAACGCCTAGGAGATTTTCAACGTTTTTACCAGTTCTGTCTCTGCTGCAAATTAGAAAGAATAGGATGCACACTAAATAGCGATTGAAAGTGCGGCCGAATGAACGCAAAAAATAGGCGATAGATATTTAAGTGGAGAGGCGTTTGTATGGATTTTCCTCTTAATTTAATAAATATGAGAAGAAAACGACAATTTCGCATCAAAGATAGTGCCTAAACACTTAAATTTGGAAACAAAATAAGCACTTTAGAGGACTAATGTGCTGATGAAGAAACAACCGCAGTTAAGTCATTTGCAAAACGATGCTTCTGATGAAGATTAGAAATTGAGTTTAGCAAATCAGAGTGAAATACGATAAATAATACCGGACCTATACACGATCCTTGGGGAACATCTTTAAAAAGAGAAAAAATAGTTGATTTAAAATCCTTGATTTCAATACATCTGTTACGCTGGCATCTAGATTGATGGGATGTGAATTGTTTAACATCTCTCTCTTCCATATACCATAGAACAATCGAAAAGGCTTCTCATTAGTCTCATATGTATTAGAACTTTTAAGGTCAATTTCCTCAAGTATGACAAGAAAACATTGTTTAAACACAATCTACTATATTGTTATACGACTTACTAAATCTTATCTACTGCACGAAAGAAAAGAACATGGTAACTTACCGGAGGCGCCACTTATTTCATTGCCTAAAACAAACAACAAGAAAACGTTAAAACTAAGCTTCTTTGCTTTCAAAAAAAATCTTCAAAAAGAGCTTACATGTAACAAACACATGACAAAAAAAGTGGAAAAAACAGGCAAGCTATTGTAAATCCATGCAATAAGAATTTAAAATTATTAAAAATGTTCCCCCTTGCAGTTGAATCCATTAATGAACGTCGTAAAATCATTTGTTACAACTGCCACGACAGAATCTGTGACCGCGCTTTGCGCACCGACGACTGTATTCCCAGATTCAACGGCTACTGTTGTATCATTAGCAGATCCAACTGAATGTGTAACGGTAAGATGTGGTCCTTTATTGTACCAAGCGGATAAAAGCGAGAATAGAGGACATCCATACAACGCAGGAACTATTGTTTTGGGCGGGTCGAACAAGGTAACTGTTGCAGACGAATATTGGCTTCGGACATCAGTCAAAATATTATCCATCGTGATGGAACTCCGATAACTAATAACGAACTGCGCTGGTATTCTAGCGGGGTATTCGATCCTATACGCTTATCCATTGAATGTATGAGGATAGCTGTCATCGATTAAGAGTTTCGAAAAAGAATCTCTGTCATCTGGAAACACGAAGAGAACCCTCTTTTTCTTTTCAATCTCCAAAATAAAAATCGGTTATCGAAGACTAGAATTTTTTCATTTTACTTCATCTATAAAATTCCTAACATGTTGATCGTTAAAGGTTAATGCCTGATCATAGAATGTCAGTTTAATTGACGGAAATGTAAATCGACAAGTAAACTGTTCTGCCTCTCGTGTGAGGTTCGGAAAAGATGAAGAAAAACGTAAAGTTTTCTACGACGTAAAACGGATCTCGCTGATTCTGGCTACTGTTCTGTCTCTGACAAAGGTAGCTGACAGTTTGGAATGGATCATTATCTGTCATGTCTGTAAGTAGACTAGAGCAGTTATATATATAATCTACACTGTAAAAAGATTGAGAAATCGTCAAGTTCGTTACGGAAGTAACACGTTCGACCGAACAGCTTCGGTAGTGTCTGAACGGTATCGTAAGAACTGTGAATTTTGGCGTACTGTTGGTACAGTACAGTACTACAGAGTACCCTATAGAATACAAAAGATAAAAATTAAAAAATAAAGGAAAATAATACATAACCTACCCAAAAACTATTCAAGATTTATACAAATATCGAAAATCAATGAGCATTTTCCATAATTCTAGAAAATCGAACTGGAAATTCGATCTGGAATTTCAAGAATCTTGGGAATTATTTATGGAAAATCGATGAATTTTCCAACATTTTAGAGATTCGATGTGGAATTACCAACTTTCTTGTAAATTCGATTTTCCAGCATCTAGAAAATCCTCGAAGAATTTATATAGGAACCTTTTGAAAATTGCCGCGCATTTTCCATAAATAATTCTCGACATTACAGTGTTGTAGACCGGCTGGTGTAATTAATCGTTTTCGAACGAACCCTGTAATCACAGTTTAAGTTAATTATATCCAGAAATGATTTCAATAATTTTGAATAAAATATAATTCCTTAAATTTGATGCTCGCTCCTTAACAAAAAGTTTGAAAAAAAAAGACGATTACAACTAATTTTATTTAAGCGTTTTGGTTGATTTCTACAATTGTGGACAATGTGGAAAATTTTTCGAGATATCTATTACAATCATATTGTACCATCGCAATAGATGGCATACTGTGTTACATTGTCTCTACATGTTGTTTGATCCTCGGGATACACAACGTCTGAACGGTTTCAAAAAGTGATGGAGACAGAGGATTAAGTAGTGAGAAGACCATAGTAACATCAGCCTATCTTTGAACAGAAGAAATTCAAAAACCAAATCCAACTTACTTTCTTCGTCAGCTTGCCTTTTTAACCTCTGCCTAAAGTCACTTTCTGCTGAATCACACTAAAAAGTGAAATTGAAAAGTGAATCATGTATCAGCAGATATATAAACGATTTCAAAACAATAATTACCTGAGATAATATTGAATCAGCTAAAATACATGCCCACACAAGGAAACCTGAGATTGTTTTGGTATCCATTAAGGATATAATTGACAAAATGAGGAATCTACAACGTAAAAGAGGAAAAAAGTATATTCTGTAAACTTCATAGTGTAAATGAATGGAAAGGAGTA